AAAAAGCTATATATCCTTTTCCCACCTCAGCCTTCCTTATATGCAGGCCCACTGTTGTCTTTCTACTTCCCACCACCACGAAATAGGGTTCTCTCTGTGAGACACCTCTTTCGTGCTGACACTACGGTTGAGCTGACAACTTTGACTTCATCTACATTATTTATCAACCCAGGAAGCTACCACACTTGTCTTTGAAGCGCACCATCATCTTCAGGACATTATATAAACTGCATTTGTTTGTGGGAGCCTGAAGCTCATTTTTATATGACATGACCATATTTACAAATATAGTAAAAAAAAACCTTTTAATTATACAATGGTTTCTTATTAACCAATAGCATAGAATCGTGTGGAACATTATGTCTCTGACTAGACTCACAGTCAAATTTTTGTTTTGTTCTCTTTGGACTGAATTTCCTCTACCCAAGTTTGAGTCTGCAGTGTCGTTACAAAAGGGATAGAGGACCAAGCCTATTCTCAGGGAAAGCAACAAGCGGCCCAAAGAAGGTTCTTTGAACCTCTGAGCTGGGGTGGAGATTAAAGGAGGAATGTTTTTTGTCTCAAATACTATCTTCTTTCTTCTTAAAAGAAATGAGTCTTATTTTACTCCGAAAAATGTAAGAACAAGAGAACTCATCTGCAGAGACGAAAATCTGAAAGCATAAAGGAACGGTAATTTGCTATAGCTAAAAATAGACCCCACCTTGATGCATTTACATCACGTGGGTTTTAGCAGCGTGTCCAGGCTTCATCTGCAAAGAGACGACGTCAGAGCCCGCAGTTGAGAATCAGATACAGCTGGTTTTAATGTGCTTTGCTTCTAAGTTGAACACGTTTTAATAATTTCTCCTTTAGGCTCTCCCCACAGACATAACAGGAGGTATAATTATTACATTTTTGGCTCCAGTCACTTATTGCAAGACTATTACATACCTGTGTAAACTATATAGTCACCGTCCCTGACTTTAGCGACTCAGGTCCAGTGGGGGTGAGAAGCACAAAACAAATAATTACACATGTAGTTCTTTCATTACAGTTGGGATAAGTGACAAGAAGCAAAATGTGAAGTGCTATGAACATTTATAAAAGGAAGAACTAAATTAGTTTGGGTATCAGGAAAGGCCTTTCTAAGAAAGTAACACTTAAGAGACCCAAACAATGAGTTGAAGTTAATCACCTGATGCTGAGTTGGGAGCAGGAGAGGGAAGTGAATTCTAGGTGCTATCTAGACAAAAGTATCCACCCATCTGAGGTGAGGGCCATATTTCCACATTTTGCTTTGCTTCCATCCTTTAACCTGGAAACTGTAGACCCAGGAGATTTCAAAGTGTCTTTCTAGGTGAAGACAGATTTTTCTCTATGAAAAACTTCCTGGGAGAAGCGGTGTCAGCAGCAAGTGACTCCCGTTCCACTCTCTTATATTGCTGTTTTTTCGAAGAATAATTTTCACTTTAAAAAGGTAAGTACAGAGCTAATGTATGAAATTGAGTTTCCGGTTCAATAAACATTTCACATCTAAATATTTCTTTTGTTTTTATCTTCAAGTCAATCTTCGGCATGATTGCTCAGCCAGCCTCCACTGCACTTCAATTCTGATGGCCACAGCCTGAAACTTGTCGTCACCTAAAACAAAACCTTAAGATTCAAATAATTTCCTCTTTGACTACAATCTTGTATCCTTTCAGATCTCTCCTTGGACAATGTGTCTATACAAGTTCTTTGATTTTATTAAGACTTCTCTCGACTCCTTGAATCCTCCATATTTTCCCAGTATCCTGCTCTCTGTGTTTCAATTTCTGTCTGATCCAACTTGGACAACGTGATCTATCACTTCAACCCCCTTGACAGCATGCTTGTCTCAGCTTGACCCATTGCATTTCTTGTGTACCCAACTGGCATGAACCCAACAAGCCATCCAAATGTTGGCCCTCCACGCCCCTGTGCCTAGACTGATGAGTGGAGGGTCTTTGCTCTGCACTCACTGAGGGTCTGCCTCCATGCTCTTACAAGTCTCCCAGTGGTATTCCACTCTTACTTGTTGCTCAACGTGGTCAACCTGGTGGTGGGAGGTGAGGGGAATTTTCTGTTCTTCCGGTTAAGCTTCAGTTTCCAGAAGGTACCATGTCCCTGGGTCTGAGGGTGTCTCCTTTTAGTGCTCCTACCCTTCCCACAGTTGTAGTTCTAGCTCCATCATGTATTCCTTCCCTTCCCCCCAGGTCAGGGAGTTTTTCCTATAACCTTCCCCAGCTGAAATGCAGAAGGGCCCTAAGAGTGACATTCCCTCCCACCTCCTTGAACACCAGGAACTGTCAGCTATTTTGCTCTTACTCCTTTACCTTTTGAATGCCTTCTCTTTATCGGCTTCTGTTCCACGAGTTTTAACATGCTTAAGTCCTTCACGGCCAACATTATTAAATGAATAGTCTACACTCCCTGAATCTATTTTCTCAGCACTCTCCCACTCTTAATCCTTTCCAATCTGGCTTCCACTATTCCTCTGACATTGTTCTTGTCAAAGTTTCCCATGGCCTCCATGTCACATAATCAAATAGACTCTTGACAGTCTTTATCTTGATTGGTCCATGGTCGGTGTTTGGCACTGTAAACTGCGATCTTCAGGGACCAAACTTGACCTGCTGCATCTTTCCCAGATCATCTCTGCAAAATAATGACTGAGAGACAGGAAAACAAGTGCCAGAAGAGTAACCAAGCCAGCCACACCTCAGCAAGCAAACATTACAGTCAATTATTTATAGCACAGCATAAATTTGCTCTTGAAAATTAAAGATGAAGATGATCGGAGGCATCTGGCTATACTAAACAAACAGTGCACGGTGGAGTCAAAATGGGAGGGTTTTCTTTGCTTACAGGTATTCTCATTTATTTATCATTCGTATCTATTATTGAATTTATTATTCATATCTATAATGTGCCTTATTTGTAGTTTGAATTAATGTAATTTGAGTTAATGTTGAGGTTGAGTAAACAGTGGGTTAAATTTCAAACATAATCCTTTGACTACGACTACGATTTCTTCCGGAGCTTTATGACGCGCGTACATTTATTTGATTGCTAATCTCTAAGTGCTCCTCTTTCTGCATACAGGTGACCAGAAATAACATTTCATTGAAAAAAGCTGCCATCGTTTACTCCTTCCGACACAAATTAGCACAAACTGCCTCAGCACATAAAGACATCGTTTCTGACAATGAAGATAATTAATACAGAGCAGTTTTCAGATTGAATGCAAGTTAAAATGTAATTTGAGAAAGCCATTATTCTTTCTTCTGTGACTTGTTACCTAAAGAAAAAAGATAGGTGGGACAGTTGTTAAAAGCACAGGCTTTTGAGTCCAACAGTCACTGGCGTCACCACTTCCTAGCTGTGTGACCTTGGGCAAGTTACTTAGTGTGTCTGAGCCTCATTTTCTAATGTAAAAACAGTAATTCAGGGACTTCTGTAATGTCTGAAAATAATTTTACCTAGTGCCTAACATATCATAAGTGCTAAATAAATGGTGGCTATTATAACTCAAAAGACAAATTTCTAGGGACAGCATCTTAAGGCATTTTCTCTGCCTACATGGAATGGCCTGGTCGAGGATAATTCAACAATGCATCCCAGTCTCAGGCTTAACAATCCCTTTCGGTTTCAGAAGCTTAGTCCAATTTAGCCATAAGTGTTGTCTGAGAGAATTACAACTAGTATTTCCATTTGTTCACAACAAAATTGAGGGGGAGGTACAGAGATTTCCCATATACCCCCTACCTTGACACGTGCATAGCCTCCCCCATTATCAACATCCCCCACCAGAGTGGTACATTTGTTACAACTGATGAACCTACATTGATACATCATAGTTACCCATAGCCTATAGCTTGTATTATGATTCACTCTCTGTTTTGTACATTCTGTGGTTTTGAACGAATGTACAATGATGTGTACATATCACCATAGTATCATACAAAGTGTTTTCACTGCCCTAAATATCCTCTGTGCTTTGCCCATTCACCTGTCAACCCGACCCCCACAAAATAGCATGTTTAGTTTTGTAAGTAACTGCCAAACTGTCTTTCAAAGTGGTTCTGCCATTTTGCATTCTTACAAAACTAAACATGCTTTTACTATATGATCCAGCAATCACACTCTCTGGTATGTATCCAAATAAGTTGAAAACCAGTGTCCACACAAAAACCTTTGTATGAATGTTTATAGCAGTTTTATTCATAATTGCCAAAACTTGGAAGCAATCAAGATGGCCTTCAATAGGTAAATGGATAAACAAACTGTGGTAATCATACAATGGTATATTACTCAGCGCTAAAAAGAAATGAGCTATCAAGCCAAGAAAAAACATGGAAGAACCTCAAAAGCTAAGTGAAAGAAGCCAATCTGAAAACGCTGTACGTACCCCAGGACTTCAACTACATGACATTATGGAAAAGGCAAAACCGTGGAGACAGTAAAAAAATCAGTGTTTGCCAGGGGCTTGGGGAGAGGAAGAAAAGGATGGATCCTTTGTAGCACAGGGCGTTTTCAGGGAGTGAAACTATCCTGAATGTTACAGTAGTGATGGACACATCATTCTATGTCAAAACTGGTAGACTTTATGAGGCAAAGAGTGAATCCTAATGGAAAATATGGCCTTCAGTTTATAATAATGTGTCAATATTGGTTCATCAAATATAACAAATTTACCATACTAATGCAAGCAGAGGACAGTGTGCCTGTTTGGGGAAGGAGGTAGAGGGGTATGTGAAAACTCTCCGTGCACTCTGATAACCTTTTTGTAAACCTAAAAGTGCCCAAAAATATGTTAATTTAAAAAACTCTTAAATTGTCAGATCTATCTCCTTATAGGTTTTAGGGAAGAATAACGCATATTAGTGGAAGAATGAATCTCTATTCTACTTCCTTCAACTTACAGAGGCTGCTGGGAACGGACTGTGCAAAGAGGGAAAGGATAAGACATCACAGCCTCTGCCAGTTCCTCTGAGACTGCAAGTGGGCAGCCATCTGCCTAGCAGAGCACAGCAGTGTGTCTCTGGATGGGCCAACGAAGGCTGAGTGCCAAGTAGGGAGTAGAGAGATAAATCTCTCTGCAAATCAAGTCAGGGGACTCTTGATGTCGGAGGGCATGGAGAGAGAGGGTGCCGGGCTGTAGAAAGGAGGCTGGATCCTTTGGAGAAAGGTAAGCAGAAAGATTTTAAGTACAGGATGCCTAATTTCTACATTCAGTTGCTTTTGTTATTGCGGTATAAAATCTTCCTGCATCCTCAAACCTTCAGTAAAATCTGCCAGCCACTCAACTGTTTACATGAGTGGTTTTGTTTAAGAACTCTATGGGGGGGGACACAGATCAATGGAGAGGGGTGAGGAGAAGAGGAGGTAAGCCTCCACTGAATTTCCATGTGTGGCAGAAGCATGCAGTTGAAGCCAGAAATGACCATAAAAACACAAGCCTCTGAGATTTTGCACAAACCTTAGGGAGAGCAATGAGCTTCCCACTGAATGGAGGGTAGGGCTCGACATAGTTTCATGTCAGTCTCAGAGGATAGTGTGATTTCAGTTTATATCTGGATTACCTGTCTCAAAGACATCTGGTTTCTAAGTTACACTCTTTCCTCTCTTCAGTCAATGTCATCTTTCATGTGTGTGGGTCAGTGTGAGGCAGCTATGGTTCAGCGACATTGTATGTCTGATCCCAGAGAGGATTTACACACGGTCGAAAGCGGCTGTTGAGTTTATCCTACTCCAGGCAGTATAGTGACCTATGCACAATCCATTTTAAAAGTTAAGAAATCGAAGCTCAGTGAAGTTGTCAGGGAGCTAGTAAGTTCAAATTCACATTTGCTGACTCCAAACTCAGTGCTCTTAAAGTATTTTTCACTTCTGGCTTCATTTTGTGATGTAAGAGCATGTTAATCTGTTTGCGTGGATGATATTTTCTCACTAAAACAGCTAAAGCCTTCCTGGCAGTTTTCATAGGGCTAAACAGGGAAATAAAAATAATTCTGAGATTTGAACTCTGGATGAACTTCACATATTTTTAGCAGACCTTTGTGGGTATTTAGCAGAGCCTGTACTGTTTTTGATTAAGACTGGAATTTCAATTGCATTTTGGGTTTTCAAAATGTATTTCCGTAATTTTCCCCTCCATCCTCCCACTGCTCCCCATCTTCTGCACAATAACTCTTTCAGGTAGATGCTATGGGCTACTTGACCAGCGTCCATACCCATTAGAGGCTGTGGCATCAGCAGCTCTGGCAGCAATGTGCCAATTGGCTGGCCATCCCTCTGAAACCTTCCCACGCAGATTAGTTTCAGATGCAGCAGTGTAAGTACAGGCTCTGGTCAGAGGGAAGTTGTAAATAAAAGTGACAGCCTGTAGTTTCCTCATGTCTTTTGTTTTGAAATTTGCAAGCAGATTACTTGACGTGGTAGTAGGACTCTCCAGATCTGTCCCTTTGAGGAAGAAACACAGTTTACTTCCCTTTTCTTGATTTCAAGAGTAATTATACTCTCCTTAACAATTACATGCATTTTTTTCAACTGTGATGTTTATCACAAGTCCTATCTTGCATATCAACTTAGCAGTAAAGTGCCTCTATTAATCTTCACACTTTAGGAAGAGAAAATTTGTGCATTTTACTGGTGTATAAAAACAGGCATTAGCTTGTAGCATTGAAGGATGTAGATTAGTCAGATTATCTCTCTAGAGGAAGAGCATCATAGTGAAGGTTATAAGATGCCTACACACACACACACACACACACACACAGACACACACAGGCAGTACTAGATTAAAGCAAATTAAGCAATTGCCTATACCAGATCTTGCTAGACCTTAAGAACACTCGCTTCCTCTAATATGGAAATATTGACTTTTGATTGTTGCCTGTAGACATGTGATATTTCAATCACATGAATACAATTTTGGCAAATTTTATCATATAAGTGAAAGTGAAGTTTTCAATTGCTTTCAAAGGGGAGACATTGCGTTTTGGGATTTTCACCTGCAGAATCAATTGAAGTGGACATTATCAGATATCTATTTAGAATAAATAAACAAGTCTAATTACCAGGGAAGTGCAAAATAAAAACTACAATGAGATATCACTATGAGTAACAAGACAGGAAATAAGGAATGTTGGAGGGGATGTGGAGAAAAGGGAACTCTCATATACTGCTGGTGGGAGTGCAAACTGGTGCAGCCTCTATGGAAAACAGTAGGGAGATTCCTCAAAAAATTAAGAATAGATCTACCATACAATCCAGCTATTCCACTGCTGGGTATTTATCAAAAGAACGTGAAAACACAAAGGCATAAAGATATATGCACCCCTATGTTCATTGCAGCATTATTCACAATAGCCAAGACTTGGAAGCAACATAGGTGCCCATCAAGGGACGAATGGATAAAGAAGTTGTGATATATATACACAATGGAATACTACTCAGCCATAAAAGAGGATGGAATCTGGTCATTTGTGACAACATGGATGGACCTTGAGGGTATTATGCTAAGCTAAATAAGTCAGACGGAAAATGTCAAATACTGTATGATCTCACTCATATATAGAAGATAAAAACAACAAGAAACAAACACACAGAGAAAGAGATTGGATTGGTAGTTACCAGATGGGGAGACAGGAGGACAGAGGGTGAAAGGGGTGGTTAGTCTCAGGTGTATGGTGACGGATTGCAACCTGTCTTTGGGTGGTGAATATGATGTAATCTACACAGAAATCAAAATATAATGATGTACTCCTGAAATTTATATGTTATAAACCAATGTTACTGCAAAACAAATAAATAAATAAAACCATTATTTATCTAGGTAAGATTAAATATGTCTCACAAAACTGGATCTTCTCCTCAAACGTGCCTCCTCAGTCACTGTTTGAATCAATCAGATCCCACAGGAATGTGAGGATTTCAGTTTGTAATTCCCCTGACACATCAGTTATCCTCAGAGATGCTGGTTTACCATGGTTGTTGGAACACAGTAACTAAAGTGTAGGAGAAGCTTTATAAACACATTAAATCAAATGAAACACATTAAACAACATCAAATTGAATTAAATCAAGTTGTTCATAGATAGTAACCAATAATCAATAATAAAGATATGGCCATTAGAGAAAATGTTCAGAAAGAAGTGAATGTGACATGAACATGACATGTAATAAGACAAGAAAAGGAAATAAAAGATATACAGGAAATATTCAGGAAAGAAGAAATAGAACTGCCTTTATTTGTGGTGACATGATTGTTATGTAGAGAATCCCACAGAATTGATTGAAACAAAAAAAACCCTCCAGGAACTAATAAGCGATTATAGAAGGTTGGAGGATGCATGGTTAATATAAAAAAGTCAATTGCTTTCCTATCTACCAAAAATGAACAATTGGAAAAAAATGAACAATTGGAATTTGAAATTAAAAACAGGACGCTATATTTGCACCAAAAAAATGAAATGCTTATGTATAAATCTAAACATGTACAAGATCTATGTGAGGAAAATTACAAAACTCTGATGAAACAAATCAAAGAAGATCTAAGTAAATAGAACAATATTCCATGCTGATGGATAGGAAGACTCAATATTGTCAAGATGTCAGTTCTTCCCAACTTGATCTATAGATTCAATGCAATCCCAATTAAAATCCCAGGAAGTTGTTTTGCGAATATTGACAAACTTATTGTAAAATTTATATGGAAAGGCGAAAGACCCAGAAAAGCCAACACAATATTAGAGCAGAAGAACAAAGTTGGAGAACTGATATTACGCAACTTCAAGATTTCCTACAAAGCTACAATAATCAAGACAAAACCAGCACTGGTAAAAGCATAGACAAATAGATCAACAGAACAGAACAGAGAGTCTAGGAATAGGCTCCTAGAAATACAGTCAACTGACCTTTCACAAAAGAGCAAAGACAATTCAATGGAAAAAGAATAGTCTTTTCAACAAGTGGTACCAAAATAATGACATCTGCATGCAAAAAATTAATATAGACACAAGCGTTATGCCTTTCACAAAAATTAACTCAAAATGGTCCATAGACCTTAACGTAAAATGCAAAACTTCTAGAAGGTAACATAGGAGAAATTCTAGGCGCTCTTGGGTTTGGCAATGAGTTTTTAGATACAGCACCACAAAGCACAATCCATGAGGAAAAATTGATAACCTGGGCTTCACTGAAATTAAAAACTTCTGCTCTTTGAAAGACACTGTTAAGAGAAGACAAGACACAAACTGAGAGAAAATATTTGCAAAATATATCTGATAAAGGACTGTTATCCAAAATATATAAAAAACTCTTAAAACTCATCACTAAGAAATGAAACAGCCTGATTAAAAAATGGGCCAAAGACCTTAACAGACACCTCACCAAAGAAGATATCCAGATGACAAATAAGCATATGAAAAGATACTCAAGATCATGTCATTAGGAAATTACAAATTAAAACAACAGCGAGATACCACTACACACTTATTAAAATGGTCCAAATCCAAATCACTGACAATACCAAGTGCTGACAAGGATGTGGAGGAGCAGGAGCTCTGATTCACTGCTGATGGGAATGCAAAATGGCACAGTCATTTTTTAAAAAAATTTAGTTTAGTTGACATACAGTGTTATGTTGGTTTCAGGCGTGCAACATAGTGATTTGACATTTATACACATTATGAAATGATCACTGTGATAAGTCCAGTAACCATCTGTCACTGTACAAAGTTATTACAATATTATTGACTATAATCCCTATTCTGTATATTATACCCCTGTGACTTATTTATTTTATAACAGGAAGCTTGTGCCTCTTAATTCCCTTCACCTATTTGCCCAACCCCAAGCTAAACATACTCTTACTGTACAATTCAGCAATAATGCTTCTTGGTATTTACCCAAACTGAGTTGGAAATTTATGTCCACTCAGAAATCTGTGCGAATGTTTATAACAGCTTTATTCATAAGTGCCAAAAATTGGAAGCAACTAAGATGTCTTTCAGTAGATGAATGGATAAATAAACTGTGATGCATCCAGGCAATGGAATATTATTAAGCATTAAAAAGAAATGAGGGGCCGGCCTCATGGTCGAGTAGTTAATTTTGTGTACTCTGCTCTGGCCGTCTGGGGTTTACAGGTTCGGATCCTGGGCTTGGACCTACACACCGCTCGTC